AATATTATTATTATTATTATTATTATTATTATATTTTCCTACTAATTGAATGCAACTATTTTTGGCTTGAAAATACAAAGGGATGCCATGAGTGAGTAAAACAAGTATCAGTAGTCCAAACATTGCAATAATCCACTTTGCAAAATTTTCTAATTAGGTATTAAATTATTATTATTATTATCTTTTTCTACATATACACATTTTAAAAACTACATATTTATACTTATTGGACTAAAAAATAGATGAAAAAATTGTCAAATGTAAGGCATCACTATGATTTTGTTGTATTTCCTATTAAATAATTGCATCAGGTTCATAAAAAAAACATAATATAAATGATCAATTATGTGTCTATTTTTATTAAGTCATCACTCAAATATAAAATCAAAATTGTATAGACCCATAATTAAACTTGTATATTATACATCCATTTAAATTAATATTTTTAAATTATCCTTCCAAAAATATATTCAAAAAATGAGGAGATGAATAACCAACAAAAGTAATAAGAGGCATTTTAGGTATTTCCAAACTCATCTGTTAGTCACAGTTAGTAGCAAATAACCTCAATTTACTAAACACATACTAATATATATACAGTATCAAACTATTTAGAGGGATATATAAATATATGTCAAATTATAATTTTGGAGGGACACATGTTATTTCCAAAGTTTGAAAGGATAGATGTGTAAAATTCCTTGTGAGCGGATCCGCCACACACTTCTCGCGGAGATTCGTGCTCGTGGATCGCCCCTGCGGGACGCGCGGCGGCGTGCCATTGGCCGATCTTCCAAACTAACTTAACGTACCACGCTGTGTACGGACGAGGGAGTTGGCATGTTGGCGGTTAATGACGTTATTTGTCACCCACAGCTCTCTCTTCTTCTTCATCATCTCCTTCGGCTTGTCTGTGCATTGACAGATTGTGTAGGGGTTATAAGATGTACTAACACTAATCTCTTGGCCATACAAGTGCAGGAAGAGGAAGCGAACATTATGATGAGTTCAAATGATTCATCTGGGAGAAGAGCATGATTGATGACAACAAGTACTGCACTTGGAAGAACTCCTAAGAAAAACCAAACCAGCAATCTTCTCTCGGCTTTTTGGCTTAGCCTTTAAGATCTTTCTGTACATGTAATCTTCCATCCTCAACCAAAGTTGCACTCCTTTCCTCGTCACCACCATGCATCCCATTAAGAACTGCACCAAAATGGAGGACCCCAAAAACCAACCTCTCTCTCTCTCTCTCATATTAGATATGGTGGGTTTGCCATGCGCATGCTTCAGAGCCAGAGAGCGCCGGCTTGTTTGAGGAGGGGGACGAGGGCGCCGCTTATGTGGGCGGCCATGACCCGGTCCATGGCCCCAACCAGCTTCCCGCCGATGAATACCACGGGTACGGCGGGGCCGCCGGCTGCACCACCGCCGAGGAGGCGGGCGAGGGCGCGCTCCATCTCCCGCCCGCGCGGGTCCTCGTCCAGCTCCACCACCGACGGGCTCACCCCCATGCCGCAGAAGAGCCGCTTCAGGGCGTGGCACATGCAGCAGGTGCTCACGCTGAAGATCACCACCGCGCTCTCCGCCGCCATCCGCTCCACCCGCTCCAGCGCGTCCATCGTCGTCGTCGGCCCCATCCCAGCCACGTAACCCCACGCCTCCGCTGCCGCCGCCGCCTGGTAGTACATCCTTGAGCACACTCGTTCTCTACGAACACTTAAAATGACAGGAGCTCAGAGGATAGACGTAGTCGTGGAGAGTCGGGGAAGAGGAGCAGAGTATTTATAGGAGGCAGAGGCTGAGAGGGTCAGAATGGGAACTACCGCTTCTATTTTCATGCAAGAGAAATCTACTCCGGATTTCATCAATCATAATATCTTATCATAAGCAGAGTCACTAAATCCAAGTTTTTAAGGTCTTTTTTTGCTTCTGTCATTTCAAATCTCGTGTACTTTAGGAGAACAAATATAAAGAACAGAGAGGTGGAGAAGGAGCTGAGCTGCAGGCTTTAACACAGGGGGGATACGGGCGTGCCGGGCAAATGCGGCTGTCACCGTCCTTGTTGTCGGCCGAGATCGATCCGCAGTCGCCGGTACGGTGACCCGACCCGACCCCACCTATTCCTGCATAACTTTGGAGAGCAAAACCGGGCGGAGAGACGCCCGCATGATCTGTTCTCGTGCAGTCTCCCCCTGTTACTTCTGCCAGTACCACTCGATGTGCTTTACCCAATTGGTCTCACCAACAACACGTCTTCTTCTTGATACTTGGTGTTCACAATCTTTGGCATCAGCCAGGAAAGGTCAACGGTCAAGGAAGACCGCCATGCGCTCGTCTCTGCAGAACAAAAAGGAAAGCCAAGGGTGGCCGAGTGCGTCAGCACGTGGGAGGCATGCAATGAATGGTGTCGGCGAGGAATGTGGCAGGCCGCCGCGCCAATTTTAAAGCCAGTGGACGTATAGAGTTTGCAGAGAGAGAGAGAGGGAGAGAGAGGAAAACAAAGCACGACAAGGAGTTCCCGGTGGTGCAGTGAGGCAGAAAAGCTTGACTTGGGTATGGAAGTACACAATGACCATGAAAAGAAGAACAAAAAGAGCTGCCTACGCACGAGAATAAAGCAAACAGATGGAAGCTCATGTACCTCTCGCAGCTTAATGTGAGGGAACCAACAATCGATTGCATGAACAGTAGCAGTCTGGAAAGCTGTTCCAAGAGATATAGAAGAAGACCAAACATATATAAGCTCTTCTGTGGCAGCTTCTTGAGGTGATCATGGAGACAAAGCAGCGAGCCCTCACGCACCGTATCTTCTCCATCAGTCTGCGCGAGTCCGTTGCCGGACACAGCTTTTGATGAGCACTGAGAGGTCAAGACAAGTATGTAGAGAGAGTACAAGTTTCGGTGAATCTGAATGAGGGGAATAACAAAGTTGGGAGTCCGTCAGAACCCCCTGTCGCTTGGTCTCCTGAGGCGAGGTGGTGGCATGCACACAAGCCAAAGCCTCCCTTTCTTCTCCACAAGCTTGGCAGTGTGATCATTAACGATCCCACATGTCTCTCCATGACGAAAGAGGAAGGCAGAGCCGACATGACGGCATCTGCTTCGAGGCTTACGTGATGCTGGTTATTAGCTGCTGCTGCTGCTGCTGACCTCCACTGCCCCTCCTCCCTCCTCCCTCCTCCTTTCTCTCCTCTCGAAGCTTCGTGTGCTGTTTGCTAGCTATATGCATAGCTTCCATGCCGCTACCGCTGCATGCTCATCCAAGCTTTGTCGGGGAAGCCATTCAAAATCATGTACAGCGCAATCGAAGCTTCCCAAACATGCAAAGGATACTTCCAACTCTCAGTTTGATTTACGTAAGGAGATGAAGCAATAATAAAATTATAAACATATTAACGATCAATTTCATCTATTAAATATTAAAGGTTCCAAACCTCATTTAACAAGGAAGATATTAGTATGATAATAGCAGACAAAAAAGACAAGAGATTTGAGATAGAATAATTTCTCTTTATCACTGTGAAGTGGTCCTCAAGAAGGAATGCTTATTAAATCTAAAGAGAGACACTTATAAATTACAGAATGAGTTCCAAGCTTCATATGTGGATAAGGAATCAACTTTCTCTTTCTATTCATCTCAATCCAAATACCCAATCTTTGGCAAAAAGAAGATATGGTGGACCATGGTTAGGGTTTTCTACAACCAATTGTGTTCCATTGATACACATTTGCAGATCACAGGAGACTACATTTCATCAATGCAAAATTGGTGAATTTTCTCTCTCTAAATGTATGTTAAGGTTATGTATCCATATGGAATTCTTTAAAAAATACATAGAGAGAATTGTTTTTCATTAGTTGACTATTAGCATAATGATGTTGAAATGCAAACTAACATTAATGCCTATCAGATTGGATATTTCCTCTATAAACTCTAACATTTTTGGGTGATCATAATTCTTGTTACTAAGTCTCACATTTTCATAGTAATATTTATATATTTTTTCTAAAATTGAAAAATGTAATAAAAAGGGAAGAAGGAAAGAAAGAAAAACATAGATATTTGCGAGGATAAATACACTATTTCTAAATGTGAAAGAATAAATATGTAAAAGTAAACATTGGTTACTAAAAAGGTCCAAAATTTGTTCACCAATCCCACCAACAATCTTAAGGTTTTAAAGCATCCACTACCACAAAAATGTGTTTTCATTTTAACTAAGATTTCATACAACACATTTTCTAAAAATATAATTGTTTGGTGGAAGGGAGGTTAGCATTTCACCTTCCAACTCTCTTCTTTCTCTTTCCTCCATGAAAGAGGAATTTCTCCAAACTCATTTATTTATTTTCTTCATCTAAATTCTCTCTTGTCCATATTAATTAATGCTATTAGTGAAGGATAACAAGACACAAAGAATATGTAAAAGAAATCATTTATTTATGCATATATATATATATATATTAAATATTTAAGAACATATTTGCACAAAATGAAATAAAAAAGATTTGATGAAGTTTGAGATTATAATTTAATAATAGAATATATTTTAGCCAAGTTAATTTTGTTTGACTTTTCTCTTGTACATATTATTCATGTTATATTTGCTATATCTATACTTATCAATGCTTATTCCATTTTATACCTTATTATGTTATTCTATATTTTTGCTTCCTTGTTATTTAATTAAAGGTTTAAATTATTGAGGCAAATATTACCCTACTTAAATTATTTTCAATTATTTGCCTAATTTTTTTTTATTTTTCTCCTTTTTATCATAGAGATTTTTTAAGAAAATAAAATATAAATGAACCATTTAAAAAAAAATCTCCTTTTTGAGCTTTGCTTGAGAAGCACCCCACATTTTTAATATTTTCAAATAGCACCCTTTTTTTAATACCTAAAATACCTTTAAAAATAATATAGTAAAAAAATCATGTTACAATATTTTTATACTACATTATAGTATTTTCTTAGTATTATTAAAAATACAAATATTATATTATAATATTTTTATATTATGTTATAATTTTTTTAGTATTATTAAAAATATTGTAATGGACCAATTGACATTATGCATCTGTCCATAATAAAAAAAATATTATAACTATTAAGCAAAAAAAAAGGCTTTTTCAGGAATTATCCAATACGAATTTTTTGTATAAGAAAATGAAAAAAAAACTCCTATATGTAAATTATCCAATTATTTTATATTAAAAAATAAAAGGCAAAAAAAAAAGGAAAAGAAAAGAATAACTTTTTATCTTTGCCACGCTTTCACGATGCCGTCTTCTTTGGTCAAAGAGAAGCAGCCACCAAAAGCAGAAGCTCTTCCTTCTCCGTCTCCCTCCTCGTCTCCACCCCCGAGCATCCCTCGCTCTCGAACTCCTAGCCGCAACTCTTATCGTTTAACCTTTGCGAATCCGTCGGTGGATCTTGCGATCGCGTCCCCTTCCCCGGTCCGATACGTCTCCAGTCTCCGTCTCCGCTTGAATTTCGCATAAAGGCGAGACCTTTTTCCCCTCCTCTGTTTTCCTCTCGGCAGATTTGAGTCGCTTTGCGTTTGCCTGCTGGAATTCTTAGCTGGACGGAGAGAGGGTTTAGGGCACTGATGGGTCTTCTTTGCGGTTGGTGGCAGGGAGCAGATGCCAGAGGAGGATCTGGTGGAGCTGAGATTTCGGCTCTATGATGGATCCGACATCGGTCCCATCTGCTACTCTTCGTCTTCCACGGTTGCTATGCTCAAAGAGAGGATAATATCTGAATGGCCAAGAGGTGCTTTTGATTTATTCAAGATAATTTAAATCTTCACTTTGCTGTGATGCGTTTTGCAGTGATATATTCTTTACCTTTAAATACAAGCATGATATATATGTGAGAAGATGGCGGTTTGCTGTTAAAGTTGGATAGATAATTAATAATGATTTGCTAGTTAAACTCAGACAAAGTTTAAACAAATCTATTATCATTGTTAAAGTCGGATGAACGTTAATTAGTGATTTTCTTGTTAAATTCAAACAAATTTAGTTAAATTTAAACAAATTTATTATCATGATTTGCTCACATAGATTTTTTTTTTCCTGTAAAAGACTGTGATTGTTTTGATTTGGTGTATGCTTTAGCATGGGTAACAATGTTGGTATTTGGTCATGCTTATGCGAAAATATGGAGGATCCTTTGTTTTAGAATTCAATTTTGTATTAGGATACTTTGTAACTGGATCTTTAAGAACTGTGATGGCTATCTGTGTAAGATGTGGTCACACCTGATCCAAATTGGTGGTAAGAATGTTGTTGATGCAAAGAAATGTAACTGTGCGGAACTAACCCTGCAAGCTACCACTTGATTACTGGTTTATAGCATGTTCCCGAAGAACAAGTTGAAAATATTTCCACAATGAAATTTCTTCTAAGAATTTTGGTGAAGAGGCATGAGGTATGTGTAGCTCGTTGTGTGTGCTTCTAACACTGTAAGAATGTTGACATAGATTTTCTACGTACAAGAGGTTTTGTTCACAATTTTTTAGAAGAATGTTAAAACCATGGGATGGGAATGGTTTCTGCTACCTAATGTGATGTTTATGAAGGCCATATGTATTCATTTTATTTTTTATTTGTTTTGTTTACCTTTCTTTCCTTTTATATCTTTGTTTTTCTCTCTCTTTCAGATTTGGTTTGTGTAGGGAGAGTGTAGGTGGAAGAGGGAGTAAGGTAAGGCTATGGTCACTCATGGGTCCATTAATGAGCTTTGGAAATTTTGGAGTAATAATTGTCTTAGGTAGTCCAAATGATTGGGATTAAGTGTTGGTTACTTACCTAATTTTTTTTTTTTTCATATTAATACCCATGTGAGGCTTGAAGAGTGAGTAAACTTCTTAACATTGAATCTTGATATTTTTTAAGGTTTGCATCCTCATAGACTCTTAATATTGTTCATGTTATTGATCACTTGTCACAAGAAGATACACCACTTATTATTGTTGAGATTTTTAAATGTTGAGATCTCTCTCTCTCTCTCTCTCTCTTATTTTGATATATTAACCTGTTGGTGGTATTCATTCTTTGCTGGCCCATTTTCTGTTTAGCCATTGGTGATTCGTATTCAAATACTGTCCTGGCTGCAGATAAGAAGATTATCCCAAAATTGGCTAATGACGTCAAACTGATAAGTGCGGGAAAAATATTGGATAACAGCAAAACAATCTCTCAGTGCAGACCAAGTTTTGGTGAACTCCCTGGAGGGGTTATCACTATGCATGTTGTTGTGCAGCCGTCGTCTGCTAAATCTAAAACAGGTAAGCAGAATCTTGTTTACATTTTATTATTCTTGTTGATGTCACTTTGGAGCTATATGCTTTTAAAAGGTACATGAGATTCATGTCTTGTGGCATTTAGTAGTTTTTATGTCAGAAGTTTTTCCAGATCAAATTTGAGACTGAATTAAGTAAATCTTAATTTGAGATCGACTCATATAACATTTGCTTAAGACATCTTATCTAGTCTAGTATATTGAAAAATGTTGCATCTCCACTTTAAGTTAATATGATTTGCAATTATATTAGGTATTCTAATTAGGTGACTTGCACTAAGGGGATGCTGTATGTGTGTCCATGAACCAGTGAAGTTATTTATGAGTTTGGAGTTACGTAATTGCCAATTTGGTTACTTTGTATATAGAAGGTTTCTGATATGACTGAATTATGTGCACTAACATGTGCTGGTAGCTGTGTGTGTTTTACACAAGACTACAAGAACTGTAGAAAACAATTATGCCATTTGGATTATTAAAGAAAAAAAAATTAAGCAGAGCCTTAGAGAATCTTTCTTGAAATCGACAAATTTCTGGATATATTTGGCTTACATGTGTCATGTCCTGTACATCTTTTTGCTTATTGCAAATAAGCTACTCAAGGAGGGCACATAAGGATCTATTTCCTGAAGGTGATAGAGCAAACATGGATTACATGAGAACCCTGGCAAAAGCTTGATTGCATAAATGATTCGACGCTTTAGATCTGAAGGAGTTGCAAAAGTTACTAATCATAGATGGTGCTTTGAGATGTTAAATTTAGATTGCCAGTGTAAGTCTAATCAGTGTCATTTAAGTCAGTGTAGGATAAATATAGTGGTGATTATCTTCATATCGATGCCTTGATCCAAGTAGATGAGGTGGCTCAAGAAGATAAACATGTATGACAACGTGTATGCAGGTTGTCATCATGGGACCATCCATAGTACCTTGTCTTACTATCTCTCAAGAAATTTGCTGATGTTTAGTAACTGCATAAGAACATTCATAGAGATTCGGAGCCGGTGGAAAAAAATTCAGTCTTTGCCTTCTCAAGATTTAAATTTGATCATCTTTCTTTATGCATAACAATGTTGTTTAAACTTGAAACGAGTTGCGTCTTCATGTTTTTGACTAGAACATGGATACTTTTGGAATTAGCTTACTGTACAGTGGAACTGAGAAACACTTCAATTTTTTGAATGCTTAGTTTACATGTTCCTCTAGTTAGAAGTCATTTTCATCAAAAGTTAATATAAGCTTACTACTATATTTTTTTTTTTGACAGAGAAGAACGTCGACGAGTTGCCAAAGAAAGCCTGTTCCTGTTCCATATTGTAGAGCAATTAGCTTCATCTATTAGTTAGTCAGCTACAATAGTATTATATCCACCTGGGAGGAACAGGAAGATGGCAGAACACTCATGGCACAAGTTCTTTTCCTGGATGAAGATACCGATGCTTCCCTCATTCCATCTCTGCTGTCGCAGGTTGGTGAGATGGGAAAAGAGAGGTATATATCAAGTAGATTCTCTAAGTTCATCCTGTTGAGATTACAAAAGCATTCTTTATATTGATCATACTCACTGCATACAGACTCGAGTGTCCTGTTCTTCGCATTGTTCTTGAACTCCAATTTGCTAATGCAGAGCACTGCACATCTATTGCTTTCCATTTTCTGCCTTCGCTATTCCCTTCAATGCCATCATCTTTGACAAATTCTGCGGTGGTGTGCAGGTCTCCACTAATCTTCAACTTGTGAGATCCAGTGGCATACTTTCCCTGCCATCTTGCTTTCACTACCTTCCACACTGATCACTGATCTTTAGTGATCAACTTTTTAAACGGGTACGGGTACGGATCCGTCGATTATTAGATTCAGATCCGTATTTGAGTTTTCTGCTGTCACTCTTTTCCGCATCCTCGGAACTGGGCAGCTTTTTAAACGGGTTCGGATTCATGAATTATTAGATTCAGATCCGCGTTTGAGTTCGTTGTTTATCGGATTCGGATTTGGATCCTGCTGTTCGAATCCAAGTCGTAAGCATCGCTGTGTGCAGTCTCCTTCTCCAAGTCCGAACCTTCTCGTACTCTTCACGAGTTCACTCACCACATATATATATATATATATCGACCCCTTAAACCCCATTTGCGTAACAGAAAGTTCACGAGGCTTTCGACTTCAGAGATACAGAGAGTGATGGAGAACTCCTTCTTCTCGGCCGATCCATGGAACGCCGCTGGGCATTGACGGGACAAGCCCGATCGAGATTCAGCGGTGCCGGCGGCGAAGCCTCGAGTGGTACCCATTCCCTTCCACTTTGTCGGATCCGACGGGACGCCCGCGGAGGCGGCAAGGTCGGCTGCGGCCGCGACGATCCTGAGGGTCCTCCGACGCCACCTGATGCAGAAGAACGTGAGGGTAGTCTCCCGGATCGATGTGGCGGTGGGGGAGATCGAGCGGTGGATCCGGGAGGAAGAAGAGCAGTTGTAGGCGGACCCGATGGAGCGGCTGTGGATGGGTGAGAGATGCTCATGGCGTTGCTCCTCCGCCTGGACTCGGTGCGCCGGGTGAGAGAGTACCGCGGAAGAAGGTGATCCGGAGAGTGATCTCGCTGCAGGAGTTCCTGGATTCGTTCCCGGCCCAACCCCAAACCCTAGAATCATCAGAGATCCGTGATTCTGGTGCCGACGCCAAAGACAACGCGGTTCTTGAACGCCATGATCCGGGCTCTACTCCGACGGATAAGTTGTCTTCCACGAGAACCAATATCCGATGTTAGCCCGTGAAATGCCAAAGCCCACGAAAGAGGACCGATCTCCGATGCTTCTGATGACAAGTTCGAAACCCTGGACTTCGCGGGGGAAGAAGGCTTCGTGTTGATCAGCATGGACGAAGCCATGGGTACGTCTCCCACGGGAGCTGTCTCTGATCATGGCAAAGGATCCAACACAAGAATGGGCCGAACAAGGAGATGGTCCGAAGGATGAATCTAGGATGGCACAGGTGCTGAAAAAGATGATGGCAGAGAAGGAAAGGCTGCAGGATCTGGTGGCAACACAATGTGAAGAGAGCGCACAGATAAGCAGCACGATGACATGGCTGGTCGAGAGGGTCGAGTGCTTGGAGCAGGGGGTATAGAGCATGAAAAAGGAGAGTAAGAAAAGGCATGCTAACTGCGCTCCTGCCTCCCCAATCAATAAGAAAGGTTGTCTAACAAGCCAGTAATTCTGCAGTCATATCCATTCTCCTTTATATCAGTTCTGTTAGAACTCGCTAGTTTACGTTGATTCTGTAAGCTACGAAAAAGTAAATGATTCTTGTGCAGTTCTGCTTTAGCAATTTTTTCTCCTTTTAGCTTGTTCTTGTCCTTTGTTATGTTTCTTTGGTCAAGGATATAGTCTCTTTCACATGTTTGATAGGAAGTCTGACAGTAAATGAAATTAGTTCTCCCAAAGTCTGTGTTTAGATTCCCAATTCCCAATTGTTCTGATGAATATAATTCTAGAGATACTTCTGCCAATTCTAGTCTTATACCTATGGATATTTTAGAGATTAGAATGCTAGAATTTTTAATTACATATAATCAAGGAGGATTTTGAGCAAGTTTAGCCTTATTTTCTCTAATTGGGATAGGAGAAGAGTAAGTCTGGCTGGTATGAAAGGTAAGAGTCCTAGTTAAATTTAGAATTAGATTGCTTGGTTGAGATTTTAGACCCAAATCACCTCTCTCCTGCAATCTCTCTCCTCTCAGATCATTAAGGTTAGAAAGAATAGGGAGTGAGCGGTGGAAGAAGGTGAAGCATTGCCCGGAGATTGGCACGGATAATTTTACTTTTTACTAATAATTTCATAATATCTGATGATTCTTTTGTTTTTTATACATATGAACTTGATTCTGTATTTGAATTGAGAAGTTATGTAAAGCATATAATTCTATTTTAAAGTATAAAAGATCTGTTCTGTTTTACTCTTATCAAATTATTAGATTTATATCTATGTTGTTCTGTATCTTGTTATATTAAAAAAAAAAGAGTTGATTGAGAAAATATGGGCTTTGATTCTTTTATTCATTTAGATCAACGGAGGTGTCGCAACAATTATTTGATAGGTAAGTGTGATGCATGATATATAGTGTATGTGCAACACAATAGTATGGGCACATTTGATGATATATCCTATTATGGATAGAAAGACCAATGTTGATAGGTGATTTTCTAAAGGGATTAGTTGGTTGCGAGTGTGGCAATAAACAAATTCCCACAATTGTAACACAAGCATAAATCATTACAGCTCCACTCTAGTCGTACATTACCGTTCTAGTTATAGGTCAGAGTTCGACATGAAATAACATCTCATATTTGTAAGAGGGGTAGTTTCATCTGGGCCCATATATAGTCAGTCAGGTTATCTGATGGATGGATCGCTTGATGATATTTATCTTATGTTTCTTGTTATGCATAAACTATCAAAACAGTATTCATGTTCATATTTGGTTCTGAGTAATAATTTTATATTATTTCCCTTCATTATTATATATGTTGTGAGATATCTCAATGAGACATGATTTGTCTTTCTAGTCCTTATTGAGCTTAATGTGCTCACTTTAAATTATTATATTTTTCAGGTGACCCACAGATATAGCAGCTATAGATGGAGTGAAGTCCTCGTACCTTAGAAGGTGGAGATTGCTAGCTAGCTTATTTGTCATTGAACATTGTAGTTGAACATTCATCTTAGTTTAATGGTTGTGATGAGGCTTAAACATGCTGATTTAAAAATAAATATTTTGTGAATTTAAGTTTCTTTTTGTTAATGTATGTGTTGACAGGAGATTTCTCCTTTAGTCACAAAAACAGGTGTCCTCTGAACTGACCTGAGGTGCCGAATTAAGATTTTTGTGTTTTGCGTCTACTTTTTTAAAACAATTTCAATGTGATGGACTATCCTATCTAATGTGTCGCTCCATTGGGAAGATACTCCTCTATGTATTCATCAACTGTAACTAAAACTTTGCCAGGATGATTTTGATGCCTTGATTGAGAGTTTGTTGATGATGTTAAATCTGACATTAAAGCTCTGATCTACTGTCTTTCAGCATGATACATTCTTGGCATGTTGTTGCAAACAGCAACCAAAGTGCAGTTTGCATCCTTCAAGGAATCTGCATAGACTCTTATTCTCCTTACAGGTCAACTTCAATGATAAACCTGTTGAGATCAGACAGATGAGGTGGGGATCATTGGGTCCAAATTGCAAGCAAAAACAAGGCCAGACAAGATTTAGTAGCAAAGAAAGCTGCTGAAATTGGTGAGCTAGAAACTTGTCACTTGCATAACCTAAAAGTTCTTGGATTTTTTTGCTCTATCATATAGCTTCTGGAACTGATGATTTGTTATGATATATGCTATGCAAATTCTCCATTGTTAACACTTGCAGTTGCATGAATGCAGTGTTTGTGATGCTTGGTCTGCAGCTTTAAGATATTAGAGAAGCAAAGATCAATGTGCAGATTGCCTTGCTTCATGTTCTTTGGTGACCATGGTAGTACCACATCTTGGAGACAGTTTTCTTATGAGTTTAGAATGTTTCTTTTATATATATATATATATATATATATATAGTGGTAGGTAGCTTAGGGTTTAACACAGTGAATATATATTATGTATTGAACTCATTATTATGTTGCCTTTAGTTGTTATTACTGAATTCTTTTTCAAGTCACAAAATTGACTTAGACTTTTGATAGCAAATCTTGGGATGGAATCCTGTTTTTACCATTAATTTGTTACAGAAAAGTACAAAAGATCTTACTTTAGAGATATTTCTTTAGTGTGTCGTTTTCTTTTTTTATTACTTATTTCATGATAATAAAGTAATCTAAATCCTGAGTAATTATTAAGTACGTGAATCCAAATCCAAACATAGATCTAGTTGTTAGAAAAAAATCTTGGCATGCAAGGAACCCATGATTGCAATGACTTACAAATTTGTTCTTAATCAATGAAGCAAATCCCAAATGATCATATTCATAATTCTATATTCAATTTTTTCCAAGGTTAGGGATTTATTTCAGTCGTACTCACCATATCTAATGCAATAATAGATGCTCCACCTTTCTATCCCTATTAATTCCAATCAAATTTCACCCGTTCGATCCCAAACTTCATCATCCCAGCCGTTACTTCTCCCACTACAATTTCCCAATCCCTTCTCTATATATATGTTCCCCCTCGTTAGCACTCGAGCGGGAAAGGAGAAGCAAGAAAGATGGCGGAGGCCAACAACAGTGACCGCAGTTCGATGGAGCAGCAACGGCAACGGCAACGGCAACGGCAACAGCGACTCTTCTTTCAGCAGCACTGGCGACAGCTCTTGTTCATCCGGCAGCAGCTCCAACAGCAGCAGCAACCGCAGGCGTCGATCCACCATCAACCGTCTTATAATCTCCGCCAACCTCTGCAGTGCACCATCCCCCGCTTCCTGTCTGATAATCTCGGCGCCACCGGCGTCCGACACTTCCAGGCCCCTCTGCCGCACCAGCCGCCCCACTCGTCCTCCTCCTCCCATCCGCCGCCGGTCCCCTGCCTCCGCCCCCACCACGTCCCTCCACAGTCCCAGCCGGCGAGGCCTTCGGCTTCGGGAGTCGAGGTCGGCGCCGGCAGCAAGAGGCCCGTGAACCCCGTGGAGATAGAGATGGCTCACCAGGACGCGTTGATGGTCTGCAACCCCGACTTGAAGAGCCCCTTCGCCTCTGTGGAGGACGCTGTGCAAAGGTATGGATCCGTAGTTCAGTTGCGCTCTTAGGGTTTTGTTGCCTCTTTGCTTTTTCTTGGAAAAAAGACGATCTTTAGTGCTGTTTGATGATACCATTTATGTATGGCTTATGGCTAAGTGTTCAAAGGGTTGGGAAGATTGAGACTCGTTAAAACGATAGAAAAGAGGGGGAAAGAAGCGGGAAATCTGTGACGCCTGTTCTTGCAGGACAGAGATCTCTCGATTCTTGGTTTGATGGTATTGACGGTTCTTCACTGTGGATTTTGGTTCAATTGCATCCTTGAAGATGAATGTTCAATCTGGGAGTCGTACGGAGGCGAATCTAAATGGTTTATTGCATCAACCTGGGGTTTGATTCCGATACCTAATGATGCTTCGTACTTGTTCGTGAATTGCATCTATCACATTTTCCTGGTTTTCTCTTTTCATTAATTATCTTGATTAGCTGCTTTTGATGTAATTTATGTCATGCAGGGGAAGGGATTCATTTCACAGTTTGCCTTTGAATTTTTCAGGCTGCTGCCTTATCATGTGGTGTCTGACTATAATGCTGAAGAAGATGATCAGGTTCTTGAGAGTGATACTACAGGAGATAGCAAGTCACGCTCCCAGCAGTGGGACAACGACGTCCTTGACGCAGTCACAAAGGTCAACGCTACGTTTGAGAAGCAAGTTCGTAACTTCAACATGATGTTACGGAAGAGAGCACAAGGAGAGTTCAGATCAGAGGAGAGGCTTATGCTAGAGCATGCTTTATTGCAAGAAGAGAAGGAAGCTTTGTTGAAGACAAAAGTAGAAATCGAATCCAGAGAGAAGGCTGATAAGGAAGCAGCAGAAGCCCAAATGCGGATGGCCATGGCCCAGGGAGAACAAACTCAAGCAGAGCGCCGGTCTCATGCAAATGTTCACGCTGCATCCCGTCGTTACGAGGGGTCTGGCGACCAGGGAGGTAACATGGATGGACTTCATGGGTGGAATTACTCAAAGAAAGATGAAGAGCCATCAAAGGATTCTTCTGAATGATGAAAATGAACCTGAATGGAAACATTGGAGGCAAGGTGAGTGGAAAGAAGTGTGGCTGCTGAACTTAAATTTTTGGCAATAGTAGGTTGAATTTGGCTGCTATTATCTTGAGGGAACCCAAAATTTCTTCCCATGCTGCTCACAAATTGTCATTTCACATGATCCATCATATTTTTTGGAGATCTGAAATTGCATGAAAGAGTGCTTAGCTTGAAGCAAGAAAGCATTAACTCTATTGTTTGATCTGATGCAGTGAACTATCAGGTCGCAGTTGCAGGGCAGCTAAGTCAAAAGCTTGTTATCATGTCAACCAGCTATTTTTAGCTTGAAGATTTTGAGTTTGGCTGCCTAGAAAGTTAACAAGGCTATACCTTTCAAGTGTGTTTGTGCTTCAACTGAGACATACTTTTTGATACTGCCATGGGAAGTACTTGAAGAACATCATTATAAAGTTTAGTGTTGACTGGTTGTCTTTTACCAACACCATGATTGAAACTCATCTGAGTCACATATTTCTGCTTGATGAGTTGATGTTGAATTAGAGGTTTCTTGGTTTTCTTGAAGGTGGAGTGGCAGTCACAGTGGTTTCTTATAAATCAAAACATCCTTCTGCATGAAGTCTGCATGAACAGTTGCCAAGTTGCAATATTTGTCAACAGCAGTACATAAAGTGCAACATCATGCAGTGCATTTAAGCATACCATCAATCAGCTACTCTGCAATGTGAAGGTACGCACCTCATCAGTTAACCACTGGCCTGTAAAACCCTGAGCTCCAAGGACATGAATGATCTGACAAAGAAGATATGTGAGATGTGAGAATTCTGCAGTTATGTGGCCACTTTGGGAGGAGAGAAATGCCTAGGGTTTCCTATCAAAGAGAGAAAAATCCTAAAGTGTAAAATATTGTGAGAAAGATTGGTAGGTGCCCTTCTTTACACTTGTTAAATCATAGATGATCCTTGAAATCACAAATATCATAAGCATCCTTTAAAAATTCAATAAAAAATCATAAATATCTTTTGGAAAGTCTGCTAACTTCAGGGAAGTAATCATAACATTTTCAACTTTACAGACAGGGAGATAAGCAAGTTTCCTATAACATCTAGTGTTGGAAACCAGAACTTGAGATATGAAGCAAAAAGAAAATTTAATTTATATAAGAGCTAAAGATTGACAAATTATTTTTCTTGATGTTGGAAGTTGAAAGCCATTATGTAGAAATTTTCAACAGACCTGACTTAAGAAGAAATTTTAGATTTTCTCCAGAATTAATATGAAATCATGTCCATAAATTCTGGATGGTATGCAATCATCCATCTTAAGAATTAATGACAAAGCCTTTTAGTTTCAGAACTTGGTGTTGTTTCATGCACTTTAAAATGGAAATCTCTCAGATCACTAGTGATTTTGCCTAACAACCATCTACACAACATCTTTCTGTCTCTAAAATTTCATAGTTGAATGGTGAAAATGGAACTGTTGTCACATCCACTCTATTAAATTCCTAATCAAAGATTGAAAATAAATTAAAGGGGAATGTCATATGGCTATTTGGTCAGAATTGGTAGGATGGCATCAGAAATATAATTTGATCAATATGGATTGGAACAGCAGCAGCTCATGATGTCTTCTATGCTGCTGTCATATCAGCTGGAAAGGAAGGAGACTGTCATTTGGATAGACACATGATGCTCAAACATGACCCTCAAAGCACTACATCTTTACCTGCTCTCAGCAAGCAGAAACAGGAAATGAAAGATGTAAAGATTGTCTCATTAACAACATGGAGGAGTGTGGAACAGCATGGCATGTTGAGTGAAGGCATCAAGGAAGCATGGACAGTGTTCAGGCACATGGAATCAGTGACTTTTTTCCTTGATTTCTTTGTGACCTTGTGGCCATACCATCCTTGTCCTCACACAGAAAAAAAAGAGAGGCATATTAATCCTGATTTATCTTTTCACAAATTTTTTTTTTTCCTCAGTTCACAATGGAGATATTGTTTTTTGGTCTTGGCCTCATTTATAGTACATTTTGCATGAATGAGATATATTTATATTCAAGTTTTTGATTTAGGCATCATATTCCACCAATCTCCATAGGCTTGAAACTTTCAGTGATGGCCATCCATGTTATGGTTGGGTTAACTTGGATTTCAATTGCTCTTAAGCAGATTATTTGTAGCCCTAATCTAAGGCATCTGTAGAGATGTTATGTTTTGTTCCTAGGCCAGTCTCTGGAGAGCTCTTAGCACTGGAGTGTCACAGCTACTGGATTAAAGTTATAATCTGTTCTTGGAACTTTGTGAGTATCATGTGTAGTGGACCAGATGTTGTTGATGTCCTTGTTTGGAGGATAACTAAATTAAAAGTGTATACATGAGTAGCAGAGCTTTTCTTGTTGATTTGTCAGGCATCTCATGACAGTCACATGATATGTGGGGAAGATCTGCCATTCTTGTCTTGGATTCTAATAGTCTCCAGATTCAGACTCTTGGGATACATGTGATCTTGAGACAGATCCTGTGAGTGAAAGAGTCAGAAATTGCTACCACACCTTCTGACAGTATTCTTTTTCTTTCTTTTATGCTTTTGAGGAAGGAAAAAAAGAGGGGGTGGGTGGGGGAGAACTGCAAAATGCATATGCCTTCAATCTGCTTGTCACCATTAATTTCTCTTTCTGCAGGTTAACAAATGGTACATGGAATTAGCACTTCTTACTTTCCATGTGATTTCTTGTGATCTTTTCTTTTATGAGTTTCTAAATCCAAAATAGCTTGTAAGGATTTGCAGTATCATTCCTAAGCTTGGCATTCTTATGCTCTTTGATGGCCTTTCACAGCAAAGTCTGTTCATGGAAAGAGAAGAAAGTGCAAGCACAAGAGATAGCATTCTGTAGGAGAACTTTCCACTAGCACTAAAGAGAAGAACAAGGCTTCATCCTTCGAAAGAAGAAGAAGAGGAGGACATCAAGTATAAGAAGTCTGTAAGCTTCCCTTCAGCTTCACTGGCAGTGGATCTGAGTGCTGATGACGGGAAAGTCCTGGGGAGTCATCCAGGCGTACTTGAACCTGATCGGAGCGCCCCTCGTTAACGGTCGGCCACCGCCGACGATGCACCGCTCCTCGTCCACCGGCCTGATGGCGCGGCGGTTGACCGGCTCGACGCTGCTGAGGCCGTAGCAACGCAGGAGCACCCGCGACTGCGAGCACTCGCAGGTGTTGGTCACCAACACCTCGTACTCCGGCTTCCCTTCCACGGTGCCTCCTGTCCTCGTCTGACGCACGGCGATGTCAGATGAACTGCATGGCTCTGCGAGACCTGCATGAAGAGCATTAACTCTGCGATGAGTTCGAAGCAGATCACTCTGAGTGTGGCAATAGACAGTAGCAGAAAACTTGCCCCCACTGCTGGTGCAAAGAAGAAGTGCCAAGAAGAGGTTGAGAAGTCTTGCCATCCTCCACTCGCTGTGTTCTTGCAAGTCAAGTGCAGGTTATTTATAGAGAGAGAGAGAGAGAGAGAGATGGATGTCTGCAATGATTCAGTTGGTCTAAGCTGCAATCGTGGGATCATCCATGTTCTTCCGAACTAGCTCGGCCTACACGTTTTCACCAGGTAAAGGACATGCCTAACAAAACCATGCATTCAGATTCACTCAGATCCAACAGCTAACATGATTAGATCCTCAAGGGCGGTCAATCCAAAAAAATGAAATCTGGACTTGTGAGAACCGAGCGTGTTTGCCAACCGAATTCACCGAATCACAGATCCGAAAGTATGAGGCTCAACCAATTTGTCTTTTTAGGTTTGTCACTTCCCCAGCTGGATCATAACCAAGGTTGAATTCAGACAAATGCTCCGACAGGATCTGATCCTGTATCTTGGAGCTTCCTCTCATGCTTTTGTTCTCTACTGCCTGATGAACTGTTGTCCTCTTCCTGCAGATAGGAAATTCCCAGATGCTCACATGGATGAAGATAACCCTCTTTGTCTTGCTTTATTTGCTGTTTCCTTCTTGTTGTGTCTCTTTCAGAATCCAAGTGGGAGAGCAGCAATCGGTGGAGGGGAATGGTGTGAGGAAGCTACTAATTCCTATATTCTTCAAACCACCTTCATCAGAGACTAACTTACATTATTATAACCAGAGTTAGAGTTGATTAGGCACATAGCTATAGATTAATCATTCCTCCAAACTGCACAGCAGAGTTTATCCTAAGATTTCCTTTTAATGAGACACTGTTCCTTTTAATGACTTGTTGACTTTGCTTTACTTGGTGGTCAAGTTGCCATCTCTTGTTCAACTGCAAGTGTGTCCAACTCCTCATTGTGGCAGGCATAAGGTATTAAGAACATGCTGAAAGCAGTGCAGATAAAAGAGTCAATGCATGCATCATGTTCTTCCGTGACAAGAATGTTCTCAGATGCTGCTTGAATCGCATGGCGTGCTATGTTCTTTTGTATTGGCTAAACTTTGCAAGACAAAATGCAAGTAGACATGTTCTTAGCTTTGACGGTGGAATCGGTCCTCCTCGATTGTCGAGGCTAACAGAGACCGATTCCTCAGCCTTCAGCAACACATGGTAGATGAACAGAGCAGGACCGGTGAGATCTGGCTACAGGTTCTGCGGCTAAGCTCACCTACGGTTCTCTCCGTTTTCTGGTGATCTAAGAGGTATGACACAGTTTTGATTTCTTGTAGCTGTTGTTCTTTTCTAGCCTAACTCAAAAGAGTTACTGACAACGATGGCTGAAGGGGTTGACTTTTGAGGCAGAGGTTGAATGCATGGTTTCAGCGAGTCAGAGATAATAAAAGCTGCTTGGTAAAGAAGATCGTCTGTGTCTGCATGTCTAATTTGCATACTGGATCGTACTGTGGTACTACACTGTGGTATTGACATGATCGAACATGTTGTCGATCTGTCCTGTGAGTCAACCATGCTTTGATGCTGAACTCACTGACTTTTGTATGGCTGACTTGTTTGATCCTAGATTTCATAAGTCAACGTCATATTGTAGCCCTTTGGCTGTCATCTTTGATGTTTGATGTTGATCTCATGGTGAGTGCAGAGTGGTCGAAGGTCGAAGATGGTGAAGATCTGCTGCATCGGAGCGGGCTACGTCGGCGGCCCCACCATGGCAGTCATCGCCCTGAAGTGCCCGGCCGTCGAGGTGGTGGTCGTCGACATCTCCGTCGCCCGCATCACCGCGTGGAACAGCGAGCAGCTCCCCATCTACGAGCCCGGCCTCGACGACGTGGTGAAGCAGTGCCGGGGGCGGAACCTGTTCTTCAGTACCGACATCGAGAAGCACATCGCCCGGGCGGACATCATCTTCGTCTCCGTCAACACGCCGACGAAGACCCGCGGCCTCGGCGCCGGCAAGGCCGCCGACCTCACCTACTGGGAGAACGCGGCCCGCATGATCGCCGACGTCGCCAAGGCCGACAAGATCGTGGTCGAGAAGTCCACCGTCCCCGTCAAGACCGCTGAGGCGATCGAGAAGATCTTGATCCACAACAGCCGCGGCGTCAACTTCCAGATCCTGTCCAACCCGGAGTTCCTCGCGGAGGGCACGGCCATCAAGGACCTGTTCAACCCCGACCGGGTGCTCATCGGCGGCCGGGAGACCCCCGAGGGGAAGAAGGCGGTGCAGGCGCTGAAGCAGGTCTACGCCAACTGGGTTCCCGAGGACAGGATCATCACCACCAACCTGTGGTCCGCGGAGCTCTCCAAGCTCGCCGCCAACGCGTTCCTGGCGCAGAGGATCTCGTCGGTGAACGCGATCTCGGCGCTCTGCGAGGCCACCGGGGCGGACGTGGCCGAGGTGGCCTACGCCATCGGGAAGGACACCAGGGTCGGGCCCAGGTTCTTGAGCGCCAGCGTCGGGTTCGGCGGCTCCTGCTTCCAGAAGGACATCCTCAACCTGGTGTACATCTGCGAGTGTCATGGCCTCCCGGAAGTGGCCAACTACTGGAAGGACGTGATCAAGATCAACGACTACCAAAAGAGCCGCTTCGTCAACCGGGTCGTCTCCTCCATGTTCAACACCGTGTCGGAGAAGAAGATTGCCGTGCTGGGCTTCGCCTTCAAGAAGGACACGGGCGACACCAGGGAGACGCCCGCCATCGACGTCTGCAAGGGGCTGCTGGGCGACAAGGCGAAGGTCTGCATCTACGACCCGCAAGTGACGGAGGAGCAGATCCAGCGCGACCTGGCGCTCAACAAGTTCGACTGGGACCACCCCGTCCACCTCCAGCCGATGAGCGCCACGGAGGTGAAGCCGGTGGCGGTCACCAGGGACGCGTACGAGGCCACCAAGGGGGCGCACGGCGTCTGCATCCTCACCGAGTGGGACGAGTTCAAGAAGCTGGATTACGTCAGGATCTACGAGAGCATGCAGAAGCCGGCGTTCATGTTCGACGGACGCAACGTGGTGGATCCACAGAAGATGAGGGAGATCGGCTTCATCGTCTACTCCATCGGCAAGCCGCTGGATTCATGGCTCGTTGACAGACCTGCCGTAGTCTAATTCTGAGCTTTTCCCACAGCAGTATTCCACCCTTCCTTCTTCCATCCATCCATCTCATCTATTTACTTCGTCCACTTACCAATTATTGTCACCTCAATCTTCTTGCAAAGACCAAATTCCATCGCTAGTTTTTTACTACTCAATATCAACTTTTGGTTGACTATAATACGATAGATTTTAAATTGGGCGAACATTAATCCCAAAACCTTAAAACTATTAAGAAATGATATAAATATATTGATCCGTTACATGAGAATCGACTTAATTCCATTTATACCCATCACATTTTATCTAAAGACAAGTCATACAGCAGTATAATTTTGGCTTTATGAACATGGTAAGGGGTAATTGAGTACTTTCACGTATGCTAAGCCCCAATCATCGAATATGGGAACAAAAACAAAAGAAAAATAGGAAGCGTGGCGAACTATTTATTTGCGCACCCATTTGGCCGCCAAATTCTACGATTTCGATCGAATCCTGCCTCGGTTCGTCCTCTGGATCAGCGAACTGACGCCGGAATCTGCTCTCACGATCGGTACAGTTACTGCGCATTTTCTTGCCGACGTTGGGTTCTAGGGTTAGGGTTTGCTCGTCTCCTGCTAGCCTTGGCTCCTTGCCGGATCTCTGGTACATGTTTTGACGCGCCTTTGGTCGTTCCCCATTCTGATTTATCTCGATTCCTGATCTCGTAGGATGTTAAGATCGTTTCTAGGGTTGTGATTTGTACGGGTTCTTGATTTGAACATTGTTCATTAGCCTCTTTTCGCCGTTTGCAACGCTTTGCTATCTCTTGTCGTTGCTTTGCGGCGTCGCGATCGGGCAAATGAACAATGTTCGTGAGGTCCTTCCGAATTGGGATCTGGCAGCTTTCTTGTTCGTGTTCTTCTGTAATGGAACCTTTAATGAGTCCTGTGAGTATGCACAGGGAAGGAGTAAATGATATTGATTGCCTTGTCTGCAGTAGTTGAGATGGCCTTTTAGAGCAAAAGAGGATCTTTATTGCTTTTCACAATAGTGTTTTGCTGAAGTGGTGGTGCTTATTCCAGTAAATTTTTCTTGATGGCTGTTAAGTAATTGGAAATATGGAATGGAGTTGTATGTGCCAGATGAATGTATCCATTAGTAACTATTCGACTCTAAAGTGTTCGATCGAAAACATTTGTGATTAGTCTTCCTCCTCATCTTGAGTGCTTGTGTAGAATTAGCTCGTCTGCATCGAATTGTAAACTATTTTAGTTATCTAGAGAGACTGGCCGAGTCAGACCATTGTTTTGGTTCTTTTCTTATTGTAAAGGTTAAAATCACTTAGAAGAAGCACCCAAATTGCCCAGATTAATCTGGAGGTGGTCAGAACTGGTCGAGGTACGATTGGAATTGGTCTTTGGCCAACTTTGATCAAATTACAACCCAGCTTCCCAAAACCCTTGGACTTCAGAATTTGACCTGACTGGTCCTAATGTAAATCTGCCGGTCTTGCAGTATTGTGGTGAGAAACCAATCGAGAAGGTTATGTACTGCAAAATCATGATCATATTGTGTGGGTTGGCTATGTAGTGGAATAGTTGAATTCATCTTGCAAAGTGCTACAAATTTTGATGGTGGGAGAGGGAGAGTGAAGGGAAGGGAAAGGTACAGTTCGTTATTATTCAATTGGAATTTTAAGCTGGCAAAGCATATTATCCATTATCAGATTAGGAGAATGAAATTTGCTACTCAATTAGTATGTAACTCTAAATTTAACATATAGGTTATAGCTGGTATCAATTGCCTCAAACAAGATTATTTTTTGGTATCTTGATTGAACAAGATCTGCTGTCAAGGTGGATCTTAAGCATGGAGTTGTTCTGTCATCTACATTTGTTTTTCCGTGGCTCCTACATTGCTACTATGAAGAGCGGAATTATGAGTGTAAGTCATTTTTGTCCGTTCCTCTCGATCCATCCAACATCTGTCCCTCCCTTGCTGTCACAAGCTCACTCTTGCTTCCTCCAAACATCTGTTGTTTGTGCAGTGATTAGTTTTTACCAGAGCAACGATGAAACAAAACATGATCTGAAAAGCTATTTTTTTATTGTTTTCAAGATATGTTTGACTTTTTAGTGTTTTGTGCATTATCTCCTACAATTCTTTTATTTATTATACTTTTCTGGCTTGTTAGAATTTCAGGTCATACATATTTCTCAAGCATAACAAGCAGCCTTTGGTTGATGATAGGACCAGGCAACATGTTATTGAGCAAGCCAGACAACTGGAGTGTGATAGTCACCTGGCATCAGTTGCTAAGGTTCTTCCATCTAGGGGTATGTTCGGAATCTTCGTCTTTAGGTCTTCCATGTTAGACTGCGATAGTCACCTGGCATCTTTAGGTCTGATCGTGACAATCATACACTTCTACTTGAATGTGAGGGTAATTTTCTTGACAGAGGTGGCTTAACTTGTTTTGATTTACAGATGGACTGCTGAAAATCTTGAACAGCAACAGAGATATAAAAATTGTGAGCACTCTTGCTATGGATACTAAGTTACTTAGTGTACATGGTAGGACTTCTTTATTACCTGGGATGGGCAACATCTCTGAAGGGATTTTTCCAGGGCAAAGCAAACGGTGTTTTTGTGATGATGAAGCTTACTTATTTACATGCCAGCATCCAGAGCAAGTGGACCAGAATGTGCATTTGAATCCATATGCAGAAACTGAGTTTACAGCCTCTCTGCCACCAGCTTCAGCTAGTTTCATTATCTGTGACTTCATCTTTTGATCTTGTAACATTTTAAGATTTTGATGGGAGAGAGTGAAGGCTTATAAGTGATTCGATGACTTAGGCTTAGTTGTTGCCAATCACGATTTGAAGAAAACTGAGGCTGCTGTTCATGTGGATGTTTCTGACAAGGTACTGGTAGCAGCCAGCTTACATATGATTGTAGTGATGAAGAAACTGTTTTGGAATTACCTGTTGGGGTTGATTTTGTTTCTAGTTATTTGAAAATTGCCGTCAAGCAGATAAGTTTTTATCACCTTCTTTTGATTACTTTCCTTGAAAACCTTTTCTTATTGGAGTGAATCATCGAGCTGATGTTCTGGAGTCATGTTCACATAGTTGCAAGAAAATTGAGGAATCTAGTCATTATGCTTCTCCAGTGGTAAATTCAAGCGGTTGTCATTTAGTGAACAAAGATGACAGAGAACAGTAGATAGGGTCTTGTGTCATTCCAATGCCTGATTCTTGTTCGTTGGAATCAGAAAATACAGTTGTACTTACACAAAACTGACTGTAGCTGCTTGGATGAGGGTTCAGTTAGATGCATAAGACAGCATATGAAGGTTGCACGAAAAAAGCTTGAGAAATTTTGGGGACAGGATAAAATTGATATGGGGTTTATGTGACATGGGAGAGGATGTAGCCCATAAGTGGACCACAGAGGAGCATTTGTTCCTAGAAGTTGTCCTATCAAATCCTGCATCATTGGGTAAGAACTTATGGGTCGTATTGCCTTTATTTTTCCTGCTTGAAGTAAAAACGAGTTAGTCAGTTGCTGCTTCAATGTGTTCATGCTACGGAAGAGAGCTGAACAGAACTGGTTAGATCCACTGAATGCTGATAGTGATGATGACAAATGGCAAGGAAGTGATGATAATGAGTTTGCAGCCGAAGAGGAAATTGAATAAGATTCTGTTGTAGAGACACTTCCAGATGAAGATGCTGTTACTTTTAACAAAGTTGAGCATGAGGATGATGAGATGAATGAAGATGATGAGGATGGAGAGGAGCATGACGACTATGCCGCCATTGCTGGGGAGAATGATGCAGGTTTCTCTGGTGGTACTAAAGGCTACAATATTGATAGGCCAAACTTTCTGCTTCCCATGGAACACATAGACGAGCATTTGCAGACTTCTATGGTGGAGCTAGATGTTCAAGATGAATCATGCACATCCTATGAGCGCCTGCATGGTGCAGGTTCCTGTGGTCTTGCTAACATTGTGGTTGCCAGCACGGTCTGACCAAGGGACTCTATGAGATCTTGCGTAGGGAGCACAAAAATGATGGTTCAAGTGATTCGTTGAATCGGGTGCTCTCCGATGACCAATGGCGCATGAGATCATGGGAAATCAGTTTTACATGTGGAGCAGGAAAAGATGATGGATATCGTTTCGCGTATCACCAATAATCAGGACTTTGGCATGGAGGTTCATCAGAATGACAAAATCGACAGTCATGATTTTGACATGCCCTTGTAGTTGCATCTAGCAAGGTTTTCCCTTGTCGCATTCATTGCATCCTCAACTAGACATCTTGAATTATCTGAAACTGTGCTCTGTTAAATCATGCTGGTGGGTATTAGTCTTTCCAATTTTCCCTTTGTGCATTATCGAAGATCAGCAGCTTTGCTTCTTATAAAGTTAGAATTTGAAAGTGAGGTTGCTCATGGTTCCATGGGGTACTAAAAGCGGCTCACATGGACTGCTTCCACTACAAGTTGTACAATTCTTGTAGCTTGGCCCTCTCCTTCAGAACTGTTATCGAGGGAAACATGCATTGTAGATCCAACAAAATAAAGCACTTGATATGATATGACATCTATCTTTTGTCGAGGTCTGTTCTCTATCCTTGTTTCATCTCATTACGAAATCTCTGGCTTTCTATTCATGCATGTTTGTTAGCTATACTGTTTCCAGGATTTTAGAGGAAAAATATTTTGTTGGAGAATATTACCTATTGGTTCCCAATTGTGCTTATGTTGTAGAAGAATATCATCAAAACATTTTCTTTTTTTTTTTTCTCTTTCTTTTTTGTCACATCATTAGGCCCTTTTCTTGCTATTTAATTCCTGAGAGCAGAAGGCCAGGAATGAATGGGCTTGACATATAGCCTACCTGTTCTTCCATCAAACAAGAGGAGGAGCCAAATGATCATATTCTCACTACAAAATTTGAAGTCGGAATGATCATATTTCCCAATGTTGACCCGAACAATGGTGGAGATAAAGGTCAAACTAAAGAGCTGCAAAGACAATTGAAACCTAAAAGCACCCTCCAAAATCTGGAGAATTTTATATGAAGGCAATTGTTGATTCTTCTCTGTTCATTAGTCTTCAAGCTCCCAGATTCCACATTAATTCATAGAAATCTTAAATCATAGTGCATATTGATCCCACTGGTTACTAATGAGATCCTCAAGACATTTATAGAGGTGAAATGAGTTCTACACCCTCTATTCTGCTTCTTTAGCCTTACGCTCATTGCATATGGCTATTCTAATTTCAAATTGGCAAAGGTCTCTAAGATTGTAGCCCTCTAAATCCTTGATTTCACATCCAATAATCACCTTTAGTACCCTTGAGAGAAATCAAATCATTTTTTTTTTCAATTTTCACCTTGTTTTCGGAATTAAAAATTCTCTTCGAGTTGCTTGATCATTTGAAGGATTACTTAATAATGAATGGTATCACTATCTAAATCAACAATGTAGCGATAGGATTGTTTTTGATATCATGCATGTTTTAAATGGGTGAAACACATGGCCTTAAGTTGTGTGGTAAACTAAATTTACTGCAATATCCAAAGTTCCAAGTACTGCTTGACAGATACTCAAATTGGTGATCTTTTTCTATCTGTAATTTGCAGAGAATATACAGTGTTAGCTACAGAATGCACACACCAAAATGGTCTGTAGGGTTTCTCATTTTAACAGGGATGGCATAAGTTCTTATCTCTTGCCTTACATCAAAAAGGATGAACTACTTTTACCATGTTTCCTGTCATGTTTTCATCAAAGATACACCAAGTTTTTCATACAACTGCTAAGTTAATACTGCAAGTATAGATGGTGGTCCATCTGTGCATTGTTGCAAAAGGCCTTTTGTCACAGGTATCATCTGTTCTTCTTGACCGTGTCTCCAGTTGCAGGAAGCTGGTGTAATAGCCTTTTCTACACCTAGCCCCAGGTTTTCCAAACAATAAGGTTGCTGGCCATGTTGATCCTGTGGTCTACACCAACAGTGAGCCCACGCCCAGCTACCTCCACTGTCATTCTATTAAGACCATTCAATGGTGTTCAATACTAGTGGTGGTGTGTCATTGTAATGAGGCTTAGCTGAAACCAGCTTTTCTACCGCTTCACAGGCCTCTTGCCTTGGATTTTAAAAGCCTACAGGGTGGGTCTCCTTCCCTCCACCTTCTAACTCGGAGTTGTTCCCCCCTGAGCTCTTAAGAAACGAGCCATGGAGAGTCATCCTTCTTTCAGCATTGCCGCCGCTGCCACCCCAACGCCTCGGCCTGTCCTCATCGCGGTTCTCGTCCTGGCGACGTTCCAGATTGCAATCGCCATGGTGCACGAAGCCGAATTGGCACGATTCTGCAGCCATTACCGGCACCAGCATGTAGAGAGCTCCACCTCCTCACCACACCACATGCCTTCCTGGTGCTCCCAGATCTTGCAAAGTCTGCTTCCGCCACCACCGCCCGATGAAGTTGATCCAAGGTACGGGGTGGAGAAGCGGCTCGTGCCGACGGGGCCCAACCCTCTGCACAACTGAACTGATTAGTGTTTCATCGTCATCAGAAGTATGTGGTCTCCCAGCCTGTGTGTTCTGGTCATCTCAATCTCTCCTATATATTGTATTGTTTGGCTACAACTTACTCCTCTTCTCTACCTTCTTCTCATTTCCCTGAAGCTTTTTTTGAGGGGAACTTGAGGCTGTATTGAGTGAGGCTTGGTGTGAGCTCTCTTGTTCAGAGAAGAGCTGTTTAATGATATGTTTAATGGAGTTTAGAGACTTACAGTGGAGGATATGTTGGAATCCTAATGTTCTACTTTGCTATGTGATAACTCAGTTTCTCTCTAGTCCTTATGAGACTTTCTCGGTAGGCTCAAGAGAAGGTGATGAGTTCATTTATTGCAGGAATTGAAAGCACCCCACCTTTTTCGGTGGAGCAGCAGCTACCACCATATCACCACCACAATTTAAATGTTCATGTGATGGTTTTAGTACAGGATGACTCAATTATTGTTTGCCATTCTCGAGTCCTGTGGTTCCGTTGCTTGCAGGGTGAGTTGGTAGCTCCATCTTTGTTTGCCCCAAGTATATTCCTTTGCCTGTTCAGTAACTTTGTATCTGATGTAGCGAAGCCTTCTAAGTAGATGTATATATATATATATATATATATGCCTTACTTAGAGCATTA